ACAGGAATATCACTACTTGAGACAGATATGTTGTGTGGTAAGGATGTACCATATGTTTTGTGTCAAATTGACTCTGATTGATTTTCTAGGATTTCAATCGGCTCCACCTCCAGCGCCTCCAATGGCCCTAGCCTCAAATTTCCAGCCCATGCTAGGGCCTACAATGGCTTCTGGGGGATCTTTTGGGGGTGGTGATTTCTTTTTTGCACAGAATTACATGCTCTCCGGAGGTCTAGGAGGACCTGGTGGAGGTCCTCCTCCACCACCTGGTACTGCATTCTTTAGTCCTCTATCAGCTCCTCCTCCACCAATGGGAGCTGGATTTCCTCCTCCTCCACCTTCTTCTTTTGGTTTTTCCTTCAATGCAGCTCCTGCTCCACCACCTCCTCCTTCTACTGATTCGCTGATTGATTTATCCTTTGATGATGTAGCTCCCGTAAGTTATTCTTCATTAGGTATTACTCCTAGGAGTGCAGACTTGTTTGGTTCCACACCACCTATGAAATCAGCTGCCCGAAACAGTAGCAGTAGTAGCAGGTCCCAGCCTGGTCCTTCCGGTGGTTTGTCTCAGTTGATATCATTACAGGCAGCAGAAGGATTCTGGATTCTAAATGATTCGTTGGCTTCTTTGACTGGAGTATCAGTATCAGTATTGAAGTCAGCTTGTCCTGATAGTGTAAGTGTTAATGTGTGGGCTACAGTGCTAGCATTAGTGCTACTAGAGAAAAGGTTTAATAGTCAACGTGATGAATGGGAATTGGTGGCTATGAAAGCAGAGATGTGGGTACAGGCTCAACCTTTGACCTCTACTATTGAATCTCTCAAAGCAATTGCTTCAAAGACTCTTAAATTTTAAGCAATTTCTTTTGTTTTTTTTTCTTTTTATAAACCTGTGTTAGTTTTTAGTGAATTTGTAGTTGAATGAAAATTTTATATCTTTATTATTAATTTTGGCTGAAATAATGATAATAAATCTTTCTAATGATTTTGATAGATTCTAATAGTAATTTACTGATTTGTTATCTCATATTTCTCAGGTATAATCTAGTTCAAAAAATGATAACAACCTTGAACTTGAAGTGAAATCACTTTAAACATAGTCTAGTCCAGGTCAACCATGTCATTACATCATCACTCATAATTAATTCCTAGAGAAGTAAACAATGCATATGATTGAAAATTGTCTAGAAAGCACAAGCAAATAATGTGAAATCACTTTGGACATAGTGTACACCATATCCATTACATCATTGTGCACTATAATAACCATTAACAGATATATATAGACTACCTGTTATGATTCTCCAAAACACAAGTAAATGTATACTCATCATAACGCAATAAGCTTGTAACACAATGATATTCATAAGAATATAATAATCATTATACTTAAATCCTGCACAGGACAGTAATAAATTGGTTTTAAACTCAACAGATAACTAGATAATGAGTAAATTTATAAAGACAAATGAAGAGGCTAGTGTTTATCACATACCTCTAAGCTCCAAGTAGAAGATGGATTTAATTTCCTCCCCTCAAGGTAATAATGAAATCACTTTGAACCCAGGTCTACCATGCCATTACATCATCAATCATAGTTAGTTTCTAAAGAAGTGAACCATGCCTATCATTTATAAATGCCTTGCGAGAAAACACAAGAAAAATATGTGAAGTCACTTTGAACATGGTCTAGACCAGAGATCTAGCGCTGTCTAGACCAATTGTTACATCATTACTTACTATAATAGCCATTAACACTTAACAAACACTAGCAACATAAGCAGTGGGTTGCTGTGGGTATATTCATAAGAATATGATAATCATACACTTAGATCATGCACAAGACTAGATATAAATTGGTTTCGTCAACGTAAACTCAACAGACAACTAGACAATGGATAAATCTATCATGACAACTGAAGAGGCTAGTGTTTATCACAATATCTCTAATCTTCAGGAGGAAGATGGATTGCATTTGATTGATAATCTCTCCCCTCAGTCTAGTAATAGTGTTCTTGATATGGGATGTGGGACTGGTCGTTTGTGTATGGTCCTTTCCGAAAGACTGAGTGATGGTGGGAAAGTACTAGGGATTGATCCTGATGCAGAAAGAATCAACGTAGCAAATAAAGGAAGAAAAGATACTATGACTAATCTCCGGTTTGCAGTAGGATCAGATCAAACTTTTCCTGAGGATCAATATGATGCAGTCGTTTCTACTCATGTCATTCACTGGATCAAGAATAAAGATGCCACTTTTAAAAGAATTTACGACAACCTGAAACCAGGAGGAAAGTTTGCATTTGCCACAGTAACTAACAATGGGATACCAGACCTACTGGTAGAGCTTGTCAAGTTATGTGGATCAGATGCTCTTGATGCTGTTACGAGTTGCAGTTACTATGAGTCTCTTGATTTTTACAAGCAAAAAGCCAAAGAATATGGCTTTAATGTTGTACAAATCCAGTCAATTGACCGAGAATATGTTGTACCAAACGTTGATGCCTTTATTGATTTTTACTTCAGTGCCTATCATGGGAGGTTTGATCGTACCAATCCTAACCTGAATGGATTCAGGGAGAAGTACTCTGGACAAGCAATAAAATGGACAATGAAACGTCTATGCATGATACTAGCAAAGCCATCAACAACTGAGTAAAGAACGACAATTTCTCTGACAAAAATAGAAACTCATTAACTTTTCTTTATAGGCTTAATTCTTGATTTTTCCATTTATTTTTTGTATGTTAAAAAGTAGAGTTGAGATCATTTGACATAAACAGTTCAAACATAAAGCATATTGGACTATGTACAGCAATTTATTGCCAAAAATGGAAATGTACTTATGTTGCACATAAGTTTTAAAGTTGCTAAAAATTGAGCTAAAGACCATGTACAGTACAAAGACTTTGGACAAATTTTCCAAAAATTAAAAAGCAAATTCTCAATTTTTATAATTTTTCTGATACATATGCATGTACTTATGTCGCATAGAAAGTTTGAGCTGGCTCTGTTCAAAATTGGATTTTTTACAAGTTTTTAATGTTGCTCCAAAATTGGGCCAAAGTTCAATATTAAGATTATAATTATGTTGATATAAAAGCATGAAGGAAATTATAATCAGAGTACATAGTTTGCAAACACATTTACATTTGTCAGCAAAATGTACAAGTACATGTATCATTATAATAGATCTACTCAAATTAATTCCAAAAGGAATTATCTCATACAATGCAAAAAGCAGAATACTGATATAATACAATAACATGAAACCAGAACTATTTTGTTAAATTACGTTACAAATAAAGTAGTCTTTTTTAGTGTGTTCCAAATTTTGAAGGGATTGCTGTAAACAATAAATTTCCCTACTAATTAATTACATTCTGCACATTTCCTCCTAGAGCTAACATAATTTAGCTGATGCTTTAAAGTTGATGGCTGCCAAAAACTATTTCATTTCAAACCCAAAACAAATCTCATTTTGTGGGATACAGTCCAATTGACAATTAATTTGATGAGAAGGAAATGTATATAATGTAACATTATCATTTATTAAAACCAGACGGAAAAGAAAAGGAAATGAAAATTGGTTTAGCTAGATGAACATGTTTGTATTACATAATGGAATTTTAATCATAGATCTTTCTAAATTCCCATTGATAGATTGACAGCCTATATAAAGTGGAGTGCAAGGACAACTTATGCACAGTCAACCATAAGAACATAGAGTTTGATCAAATCTATAACAGAACTGACAGTACTGTTCTAAAGATGAATAAAGTCTTGCTCCTTGCTTTCCTTGTTTTCTTGATTAAAACCAGCTACTGTGCTCGCACTGGTATATCTATGTTAGCATTTTTATTTTATAATTCCCTTTTAAAGGTGATGATACAGTAGATGAAAGGGAAGATGCAGAAGATAGCTTCCAAGAAACTGATGATCTAAAGTCAGGTACCATAAGTAGTAGCTTGAGCACAATACCATGTAATTAAATAATTCTTAAATATTATGCAGAGTTAACTGATACAGAAGTAGCAGAGACAAAAGGTAATACAAGTAGCCTAATATACCTAATGTATTATTACATTGTATAGTTAAAGATCAGGCTAAAATTGGTCTTACTCTTACACCAGATAAAGAGATTGTCCTAACAATCTCGCCAGGTGATAAAGGCAAGAAAGGAAATGGTGTTGTTTACACTCGTTGGGGAAAGACAACTTGCAGAGAGGGAGCAGAATTAGTCTATGCTGGATATGCTGGAGGCAGTGGACATGATGAGCATGGAGGAGGAGCAAACATTGTGTGTATGCCAACCACTGGTGTGGGACATCTCAGCACTCAAAATCCTGGACACCATACTTTCATGTATGGATCAGAGTATCAATCACACAACAAGATCTGGAGTAACCACGACTGGAATGTCCCTTGTGCTGTGTGTTATGTTCCTGACAAATCCACTAAACTGCAGTTGCCTGGTAGGATCACCTGTCCAGATTCATGGACCCAAGAGTACAGAGGTTACTTAATGGCAGAAAGCAGAGGACACCGAAGAAATCAAGTCTTTGAATGCATCGATGAAGCTGGAGAGAAGATTCCTGGCAGCAATAGGGATACAAATGGTGCACTGCTGTACTTTGTGATGCCCAAGTGTGACAGGGGAATCCCTTGTGGTCCTTATAATGCCAATATTGCTATAACCTGCTCCATTTGCACTCGCTAAGAGTTTCTAATATGGACTGAGGATACCGGACTTTAATAAATTAAGACTTTTGATGTGTGTGTCTGCTGTAGTTAGTATAATTGTTTTGGTTTATAAGGAATTTTGAATCTATTGATTTTAAATTATTTAATTTTTGGTCTGAGTTGGACAATTTAGCAAGACATGTATTCAACCCAATGTGCTTAATACTCACTCATAAGTACATGAGTGCATAAAAATTATTACTTGTCTTCTGATCATCATTGACTAGATTTAAGTGTCAATGTGTTTTCCTGTAGTTGCTTCCTGTCCCACAGTGTGTGACTGTGTCATAGAATTAGTGGTGGAAATGATGTAAACATTAAATTTTATGATGGTTTTACCTCATTATTACATAAGTAAATATTTAAAGCACAGGGCATACTGGATTTAAAATTGGCTTCTTGAAGCTGCTCAAAAGTTGTGCCAAAGACCATATACTGGGACTTTTGCCAAATTTTGCCAAAAATGAAAATTAGAGAAGTCTCAATTTTATAATTTTTCTTGATACATATACACAAGAGTGCTCTTGATATGCATGTTTTTATGTTGCATAACAAATTAAGCAAATTCCAATTAAATATGAATTTTTTATGAATTTTAAAATTTGCTCAAAAATTTACTCTCAAGCCAAACATTAGAATCAGACAATTCTCATGTTTATAAAATGTTTGCGATTTCTTGTGCATTTCAAAGTTGCTCAAAAATTAGGAAAAACTGAGACCAAGATTTGAATTTCTATCATTATTTGGTATAATATTGAGAGAAAAGCACGAAGGAATTTTAATCAGATTGCATAAGTTTGCATATGCACTTTACATTTGTTTGCAGAACATGTAAGTGCATGTATCACTATAATAGATTTACTCAAATTAATTTGTCTCTAATGCAAGAAGCAGAATACTGATATAATGCGATGACATAAGACTAGAACTTCTCAGTACATTAAATTTAAAATCTTTCTTTAGTAAATCCCAAATTGGGTGCAGCTATATACTGTAAACACTAAACTTCTCGAAGTTACTAACCTAATTTATAACATTCTGCACACATTTCCTCCTATAATGGAATTTAACTGATGCTTTAAAGCAGATGGCTGCCAGAAACCCATTTCATCCCAAAGTCAAAATAAATCTCACTTTCAGGATACAATCTAATTATAAAGGGTCTATGGTCTCATTGATAATTAGTTTGACAAGAAGGAAATGTATATAACATAACATTATCATTCATTAAAACCAAACGGAAAAGAAAAGGAAATGAAAATTGATTTAGCTAGGTGCACATGTTTGTATTACCTAATGAAATTTTCATTATAGATCTTTCTACATTCCCATTGATAGAGTGACAGCCTATATAAAGTGGAGTGCAAGGACAACTTATGCACAGTCAACCATAAGAGCATAGAGTTTGATCAAATCTATAACAGAACTGACACTACTGCTCTAAAGATGAATAAAGTCTTGCTCCTTGCTTTCCTTGTTTTCTTGATTAAAACCAGCTACTGTACTCCCACTGGTATATCTATGTTAGCATTTTTATTTTATAATTCCCTTTTAAAGGTGATGATACAGTAGATGAAAGGGATGATACAGAAGATAGCTTCCAAGAAACTGATGATCTANAGTCAGGTACCATAAATAGCTTGAGCACAATACCATGTAATTAAATAATTC